TTCTTAATGGTATTGTTGCTATAGTTACAGCTGAACTGTTATATAAAGGAAATTGCTTATTGATGGAAAAATGCTGAGTAGCACAGCAGCATCCTTTTTTTTGTGTTTTTATTGCCTTCATTTCCCACTCTCCACTTAAGATTAATGGATTTTTGGAGGTTTATTTTGTTTGGAACAAGCCCTGATTATTTAATTTTAAAATAAATACATTTTATTAACATGTACTAGCTGACAATTGAATATGTTCTAGTATGTTTGATCAAAGTGGGGTTACAGTTTTTATAAACTAACAGAATTTTTCCCACTTGGATGAATATTGATATATTGGTTATTAATATTAAAACTTTGAATAAAATGTTTTTGATTTTACAGAGTCTTCTGCATTTATTTAATACATTAAAAATCTAGATGAAGCATAAACATTTTTAAAAATGCATATTTTTATTGATTTCAGAGAGGAAGGGAAAGGAGGGAAGAGAGAGAGAGAACATTGATGATGAGAGAGAATCATTGATCGACTGCCTCCTGCATGCCCCACACTGGTGATCAAGCCTGCAACCCAGGCATGTGCCCTTGACCGGAATTGAACCTGGGACTCTTCAGTCTGCAGGCCGATGCTCTATCCACTGAGCAAAACCGGCTAAGGCTGAAATATAAACTTTTATTATGTTTTGTACTATCAAGAGACTAAGAGTATACTAAAAGTAATATCTATTTTAAAAACAAAGAAAAACAAAAAGAAATGGTCTGAGAGCATCTATATTGATGACTAGTATGTTAAAAAGCCTACATAGGCATTTATATTTTGTAATTTTCTATGTAGTAAACTAAGTAAATAATAGAAATGCTTTCAGTATATATATATATATATACACACACACACACATATAATACATTATACATAATTTATAGTGTATATTTTTTATTGCCTAACTGTCTTTATTTCAAAGAGAAAACCATAACTTGATATTTAACTATAAGGCAAAATACGAATAGTCATGTGTTTCACAATTGCAAGTGTTACATAATGGTATGTCTGGTAAAATCTTTTCAGCTAGTGAAAATCATATATGGCAATGGTTTATTATACACTGAATTCTTATATAATTTAAAGAATCTTGATTAATTTATCTTCAGATTGCCACTGGACCAGAAACATTATGAGTATTTAATGGTATAGTTATTGAGGAATTAAAAGTACAGATAATATTTTTAGACCTAGTTATATAATACATCTTAATTAAATTCCTGACTATATTGATAAAAAAAAATCTTTGGGATTATTTTTTGGTAAAGAATGCAAAAAAAAAAAGTGAACCACAGATTTTTACATCTTCTTAGGTGTTTACAGAGCATTTCCCAAATTATTTTTGTGAAGCAAATTATTCCAGTAATTGTGTTTGTATTTAGTGATGTATGATAATGACAATGACTTTTGTTGTCCAAAATGAAATTTCATTTACTCATGTTGGTCCATTTTTCTTTTCTCATTTCCACTTTAGATTTTACTGTTGCCCTGAGTTTTTCTACCCTCACAATAAATAAATAAAATTAAATGTACGTGTTTAAAGAAATATAAAATTTTGGTGTTACTATAAGTTTTTTCTCTGTCTTTCAGTTCTTTATTGATATTAAAATGTCCTTGTTGATTATGTTGGCATTCTAATTTTGGTTCTAGGACTGCAGAAAGAAGAGACACATATTTGAGACCATCCATTCAACATTTCCGATTGGTGAAAAAATACTCTTGTGAGACTCATGATGTATTAAATCTATGTTCTAAATGGGTTCATCAGACAATCCTGTTAAATCCATTGCATTCTTTTTATTTTCCTTATTTTTTGAAGCAAATTGTTAGTATACTTATTTTTACTCATGTCCTAATTGTCCTACTTTGATGTGCATTCCTTGATAGAATAAGTATTACAAATACACTTTCCAAATGCTATGTGTACACCATAGATAGAAATAGAAAGAAATATACAGAATCATATATAATAAAAGCCTAGTATGCTAAATGTCCAGTTGACCAGTTGACCATTCAACCAATCAAAGCATAATATGCTAATGATATGCTAATGCCACTCAACTGCTAGCTATGACATTCACTGACCACCAGGGGGCAGATGCTCCAACTGGTAGATTAGCTTGCTGCTGGGGTCGGGCCAACTGGGACTGACCAATATGGGCTGGAAACACCCTGGAACCCTCCCATGGCCCCTCCCTGGCTGGCCAACCTCCTGTGTCCTTACCTGGCCCCAACTGTGCACCGGTGGGGTCCTTTGGGCTGCCTGCACCCTCTTGCAGTCTGGGACCCCTCAGGGTATTTCGGAGAGCCAGTTTCAGCCTGATCCGGCAGGCCAGGCTGAGGGACCCTCCACTGGTGCAGGAATTTGTGCACCACGCCTCTAGTAATTACATAGTTGTCATAGTTATTTGTAACATAATAAGAATAGTAACCTCAGTTTCCAGATTAATTTTGGTGACAGTAAAAAAAAAAAAAATTAGGCTTTGCCTTGTAGTTTTACTCAAAATGCAAGTCAATCATGCAACCAAGAGACCAAATAAAGCAACATCATGTTAAAAATATTACAAAATAGCAATGATTAAAAATATTAAGTTTAAATGAATATGTACGAGATATCAAGCAAAACATGAATTTGAAGTAGCCAATGAAACTGTAAGGATAAATTCTGTTTCTTTTAGATTGGCACTATTGCCTTCTCTTTGCCTTGAGACCTTAGTAGTGTGTGGGTTATCACTGCTTGTATGTTTATTAAGCATTATTTCAAATCAGGAGAATGAAGTGTTTTATAATAAGATTAATTAGAACATACCTTTTATCCTATCTGAACTTCAAATGTGTGAAAATACTGAATATACTATACTATTTTGAAATAGTCACTGTGTTAATTTCCTCAACACACCTTTTAACAAGAGTTGTGTGCCACTGTGGTATTATATACTGAAAGTAGCAAGAGAGGAGAATTTTGTAAGAATTATATTTCTCCAAAACTCAGGTAAAATAATCATATTTTAAATTGACAAGAATTGCCAATGAACATAGACACAAGGAGGGTAAGGGCATGTGTGGGGGACAGCGGGTAGGGTGGCCAGGGAGAGGTCAATGGGAGAATAGAGACATATGCAATACTTTAAACAATAAGGAATTAAAAAAACAGAATTGCCAATGTAATTAAACCTGTATTCTTGGTATACTAAAAATTTCCTTGTTTACATTAGGATATGCCCTGGACGGAAATGGTTAACACTCGCCTGATTTTGGATTTTAGAATCCATTTCACAAAATGGCACAGTGATCCAGCTCTTTGTGTCTGTTTTGTTTTTTAAAATATCAGGTTCTGAATGAAGATTTCTTAAATGTGGCTCAACCAAGTTTTTAAACCCACAGCAGAGATTAACATTGATTTTCTGTAAATAATATGCAAGTATCTCCTCCAGGGACAATTCTGCACATGGGCTGGAGCTTTTAGTATTTGACATAAGGGATCAAATCAGGTTTTTTCCCCCTAAGACTTTTATATTAAAAAGCCACAATTCACTTCAGAGCTGCTTAAGAAGGAATTAAGAAGGGAATTGGTACTGGATGATCATACAAAGAGCAAATTAATCCATAATACATACTAATGTTTTGTAGACAGCATTTTCCTGAAGTTAAATATTTGACTTTTGACTTTACTCTTTTAGATCAGCAAATAAGAATTATAGTGGCTTACAGATTTCAAAAGAGCCATTATAAAGCAACCTTTTTTATGTCTCTAATGAAATTGGGAGCTGTAGTAAGAAATGAAACTTAATATATCTGATAATATCTTAGAACAGTAAGTGATTTTTGTCTCTAAATAATTTAAGTTATGCAACTGAAAAGAGTGATGTAGTAGTATGAAAAGCATTTTGAAATTGAACTTTGCAGAAGACAATGAAACATATGAATGCAATACTATTTTGTATGAACCTCCAATTGTATACTTTACAGAATAAGAACTCATTAAATGGTAACAATTAGAAGCTATACGTATAGTTTTTACTTTGTACATGATAGCAAGTATAATGTAAGAAAAAGCACAACGTAAATCAGCAAGGCAAGAATTCTATAATAATATTAGTTGAATATAATGTCTCCCTTATAATTATTTGTACATATTTTGAGAGAGTTTTCAGTCCTCAGTTTGCAAAAGAATTAACCAACAATTTATTAAAAGGGCAGATCCACCTTCTTCTACGCCAGGATCCTGCTAAAACAGTTTTGGTGTAGTTCCCATGAATTTGCATGTCCTCACCATAGTTTGGCAAAGGTAGCCCATGAATTACACTGAGGAGCAGAGATAAAAGGAACTGTTTTGGTCAGCAATTCAAAAGACTGTGGGGGTAAAGATACCAAACAGTTGGAGCCTGTGAATGTGTCTTGCTCAACTGCATGAGAAGTGTGAATGTTATTAAAAATGAAATTTTATTTTAATCCTACAGCACATAGAGAATTATGCCTAAGTGATTCTTGAAAAATCTCCATGTACTTTGTAAAGTTCTACTGTGGTACATAGAGCTACCTTTGACCCAAGTCAAGAGATACGCGACTATAGGCTAAATTAAAAAAAAAAAAAATCTTGATTAATTGGTGATTAAATGAAAATTACTATGAAATTTAATAGTTCTATTTGGAGCAAATGCAGATTTTTCACACAGAGAAAGGAAAAAGAGAGGGTATTTTCCTGGGTCCATCTTTATTGTTAAAGATTTATTTTCTTTTTTATAGTGAGGAGAGTAAATTAGTCATCTTTAAGGATCCCTCATATTTTTTTTATTTCAGATAGTCTTTTTGCAGTCTTCTTTAAAATCACTGTTTCACTGATTTAGAAAACAGTGATCCAATTCTCCATATACAAAATAGAACTAGAAATTGCCAGATTTAACCTTGGTAAATGCAGTGTAACAAATACATGATCATATAATTAATCTGTTTAATGCTGTTTTATTTGCAGATTCAAGAATGGCTTTGTTTAAATTGCCAAACCCAGAGAGCGATGTCAGGGCAGCTTGGAGACATGGGCAAAATGCCTCCTGCACCATCAGGGCCAAAAGCCTCTCCTCTGCCTTTCCCTACAGAACAATCACCTCAGAAAACTGCAATGCCTGGTCAAGGGAAAGTTAAAAAGAAGGAACAAGAAGGAAAAACAGAAGGTGAAAAAATCATACCAGAAAAAGTACAAGAAACACCTTTATTTGAAAAAATGCTTCCCAAGGTAACCACAGATAAAAAACGAGAAGAGCGTAAACAAGAAAAAGACCAAGTTTTAGCCCTTCAAGAAAAAAAGGCAACCCCTGAAGATAAAAAACCAACCACTGAAGAAAAACAGCCACCTCCTGAAGAAAAAAAGGCAACCATTGAAGGAAAAAAACCACCTCCTGAAGAGGAAAAACCAACCACTGAAGAAAAACAGCCACCTCCTGAGGAGAAAAAGGCAACTACTGAAGGCAAAAAGCCACCTCCTGAAGAGAAAAAGCCAACCACTGAGGACAAAAAGCCACCTCCAGAAGAGAAAAAGCCACCTCCTAAAGACAAAAAGCCAACCCCTGAAGACAAAAAGTTTCCTCCAGGAGCAAAAACATCAGCTCTAGAGGAGGAACAGAAACAGACTTTACTTAAAACTCAAGTACAAGTTGCTGAAGAAACGCCTGAAGACAGCAGAGTGGCTCCTCAGGCAGTGCAAGAAAAGAAACCACCAGCGATGAAGATGGAGGGGGTACCGCCTGGGGTGCTCCAGACATTGCCTGAGGGAGATGATGGGGCAACTCAAAAAATAAAAGATCAGCCACAGGAAGTATGTGCAGCGAAGCCTGATCAGGTGGAACCTGGGAAAGAAAAAACGGTAAGTTATGTTTTCTTAACTTTGCACAGTCTTATGTATATAATTGACTAATTTTTACCTAAGAACCTAGAGTGCTTAATGGTAATTATACAAGGAAAATCCTTTGATTAATATTTTTTTTCAGAAAAGTGTAACAGTTGATTGCTAAAATGAAGAACTTTTTTGACAGCTTAAAGCATAGATAGAAAATTTATTTTTCTAGCTTTTATGTCTATCAGATAATTTATCCACATCCTATAGAGTGATAAAGAAACGTTTGTTACAATTTTAAGTTATTCCTTTTTCTCTCCACTATGAACATAAAATCAGTATCCTCCTTTAATATGAAATATGTGTGTTTTTAAGTTTCTATTTCCTTATCCACTTGGTTAATTAAGAGTCAACAAGTTCCTTTCAAGTTTCGTTCAACCATAAAATTATATAATTATGATTGCAAAAAGAGTGGAAACATTTAAGACAAATGTCATTTTTTTTAAGTTCATTTTAGTATTTAGTATGATTTTAATTAATGTATTCTGTTTGTGGTTTTGCTCAATGTGTTTAATATTGAAGGGTTATTTATAACCCAAGCATAATCTGCAATAATATATATATATATATATATATATATATATATATATCATTTTCTTTAGTAGAAACTTTTAAGAGTGCCCCATCTTAACCAATATTTACAAAAGCAATAATATCAATTTTAGAAGAACTATGATTTTTCAGATTACAGGAAATCTTACATTATATCTGGTTGAATAAATTTATTTATTTTATTTTTATTTTATTTTTCCCCCCATCACCATTTATCTCCCATATACCCATCTCCACCTCCACTGACCCCTCCCCCTACCCTCTGTAATCACCACTCTGTTATTCCTGTCCATGAGTTGTTTTGTTGTGTTTTTCTTACCCCCTTCTTTTTTGCTCAGCCCCTCCACCTTCTGGATGCTAGCAATGATTTGCTGGAAAAATGAAATGATTTATTAGTATTAAAAGTTAATATGATAAATCTAATTAGAACCTATAGTCCATCCAGACTCTGGTTCAGTTGTTCTGTTTTGTTGTTTAAATTTTTTTAACACATGGTTACTAACCTACCTTTGGTATGTGATGTATATCTCATTAAATAAATTTTGATCTCCCTTTGTTATATGAATGAGTTTATTTGAGTCAGAGAAAGTAGATGCTTATTTATGTATTCCTTACTCTAATATCCTGATCAGCCACCACCACCACCACCCATAGCCTCTAGCTAACCACTTGCAGAGCTTCATGCTTTTCACCATTTCTCCCTTTGTGAAACTATCCTTTTCTTTCGTGGCTCTTCCCTTAATGTTCTCTCTTTGTCTTTCCGATCATCCCTCCTGAGCTTTTTATTGTGACTATTACTTTCTCTTTCCCAATCTCCATACCATGAGGTTTCTTGTTTTCTTTCGAGTTCTGTCTTTTCTCCTAGTGAAGTCACATGGACAATTCCTAAATCCGCTTGTGTACTTAGACCCTCTTTTCATTGTGAGACCTGCATTTTCAAATACCCAATAGATTGTCCCACTTCAAAGCCTGATTGCAAGCTGGAAGTCTGTACAGAGGCAGTTTCTGCTTCTGACTTTTCTATTTCTGATAAAGGCACCACCATGCACCCTGTCTCTCGTTTCCCAGGATGAGTGATCTGAGATTTCTTCTTGCATGCTCTTTGCTCTCCACATCCAGCTTATCACACTCCAGTTCATTAGCTCCTATTCCTAAGGACACTGTCCTATGCATGGCCTTCCTGACCTTTCACCAGTGATTTAAATAATCTCTTACTGGCCACTGTGCCTTCTGTTTCTCCCTTCTCCAGTATGTACTCATCAGGTAATTATGATTTTCCAAGGTTTGGACAGTTTAACTCTATTGCTCACATACATCTACTGATTCTCTATTGCTTGTTAAATACAATCTGAACAATGTGTCCTAATGTTTGTTAATGCACCAGTTTTTATATTATTTTGCACCTTTATCACTTTCTATCATTTTTTTTCCTGACTTTTTCTTTTATTTTATAACCTCAATATATACATCTGTATATATATACTTATTTCTAAATTAAGTGTATATACTAAGTTACTAACATATTATTTACTATATAAAATATTGACATATAAATAAAATAAAAATCAGTGAAATAAACAAAAATTGTTTTATTATATGTATTTAAATGTAAATACTTTTGACCACATTAAAATTTGATTAAAGATAGTGTTTTATAGAGAACATTGATTGACCGTGCTTCAATATTTTAGAAAATCTGGGTCTGAAATATTTTGATAGAGTTATTTGAAATTGAACTTCTAAGTTAAGCTTATTTTTATATTTTGATATTTAGTTTTAATGGCTATTATAACAACAAAAAAGATAGCTCACAAGCTTATACCAGAATTGGAAGAAGTGGATCAAAGATTGTACTTGTCGCATCTTTCTGTTTTCTAAGTTTGAAATTGAAAACAAAATTTTTCCTTAATTGTAGAAATTCCACAAATTAATGTTAATCTTCCTTGATACCAATTATCAGATAATGAGGTGTTTTAAAATATTTTAACAAATGTCTTTGAAGCTCACCAGAGTTCTTTATCTGAAAGATCTATAAACAGTAAAAATATTCTCTGCAAAGTTTGTTAAATGAGCAGATCTGAAAGCCTTTTAGAATCACATGCCATTTCATATAGCATAATCACATAATTTCCAAAAATCTATATCTTCAAAGGAGTGTTTTCACATATAATTTTTTGAAGAGACAGCTATTGTTTATTTTTTTCCTAATTAAAGGAAGCATATTGCTGATAACCAAAAGGTAGCATATTGCTGGTAACCAAGGTTTACTTTCTTCCTAAATACCTAATAAGTAGTATATTGCTGATAACCACTTGTCATCACCCAAAAGTTGGGCAAATTTTCAATTCTTCTACTTTTGTTAAAAAGGAATTAAATCTTCACATTTACAACTTTTCAAATTAATTTCCTGTGAGGTAATCAGTAAACCTCTGTGGCTAAAATACATAGTTATTCTCTAAATCAGTACAAAATATTAAAGATATACTTCAAAATATAAAGGTCTCAGTAGTATGCAACGTGTACTACATCTGTAGAATCATAAGGCACTCTCTGCATTTCTAGCTTACTTGTAACTTGAAGTAAATGAATTTTATATGTACTGCTATCTCTATAACCTTACCCTTTAAAAAAATAATTTCAGTCAGAAAAGCTATTCTTCAATAATTAATATGTAGGTTTTTGTATTTTTTGTTTTTTAATGTTTTCATTGATTTTTAGAGAGAGAGGAAAGGAGACAGAGAGAGCGAGAGAGAGAGAAACATTGATGAGAGAGAAACATCAACATCAGTTGGCTGTCTCCTGCACACCACACCCCTTCCTGGGGATTGAGCCCTGATCTGGAATCAATCAGTGACCTCCTGAGGTCAATGCTCAACCACTGAGCCATACCAGCCAGGCTAATATGTAGTTTTTTATTTAAAAACATATATACCTTTGTTATACAAATCCCTCAATATGGAGGCTATCTTCATTGGTATATTATTTCTTTGTGTCTCACAATAGTACTTTTTAAAGAATTTTATTGAAACAATTATTGAACATTATAAACTGAACATATTTCTATTATTATATAACCTTTTGTTACTTACTTTGCTCTAATAAGATTTCCCCAAGCCTTCCAGTTATTTTTTTTTGTTTCTTCTAATAATATTTGCTAATGAAGACATGCAGTTTGATTTGTCACCATATTAGTTTCTACATATTACTTTAGCTATTTTTACATGGCAGGAAAAACAATTTTCACCAAATGACATGTGACCTTTTTTCTTACATTATTCAGTAAGAAAATGCATATGAATATTATGTCTTTATTACTCAATTTACTACAAATTTATGAAGTACTAGAATACTTATTTGCTGAAAATAATGTGAGTTTCTGATCCTGTCATATTACTTACTATAATGCAAAATGTTGGCAATGTGTTATTAGCAATAATAGATGTAAATATAATTACTGAATAGTTTTCTGGTACCATCAAACATTTTTGGCCAACTTGTGTCAGAACTGATTCAACTTGGTAATCATTGCTTTTACCTTGTAAAGTTACTGATGAAAAGCTTATAACAATATGGAGTGTAAACTTCTTTATTACTGTGCTTTATGTTTCTTACATTATTAGTATTATCCTTAACACATGCTTTTTTTTGTGAAAATATTTTTAAAGAATATTTTGTTTACCACTTAACTATTATAGAAAAGGTGGTTTAGTTGAAACTGGGTAATACAAGCCACAAACCTGCGTAACAACAACAACAAAAAATAAGCTGTTATATAAAGGTGAGCAAATGAAATGACTGCCTCACTATATCTTTTCCTTATAGTATAACTTCCAGTTTTCTCCCAGGATTCTCACAGACCATGTGACCAACTAACATGAGAAACAAATAAAGAGTGGTGTCAGTCTTTTCATTAAAGTTAGCAAAATATAACTTTAGATTGAAAATACAATAAAAATCTTAATGTTTCCTTCTTATAGTCCATTAGATAATTTGGTATATTTGCCCAGGTTTCTGTATCCCACGGTCAAGGCTACAGACAACAGTTGAGCTTGGCTTTTTCAGCACTCGGAAGTATGGCTGCAATATAACTTCAAACAACCTAATATTGCCCACAAGTAAGAAACAGAAAACCAGTCACTAGGCCTTTGTGTAACTCCTGAACGTAACTTGTGTGCTCTCCCGCCTGAACCTGTACGCAGTCCTTCTCTGTGCCCTGACAGTGCACCCTCCCTTCAGCCCTGTTAGGAAAGTCCCCCTGGGCCTCTAGGCCGCTCCTCTCCCTCGGGGCACTCACTTTAGCTGCGGAACTCCCCATACTGATCAGCTTTAAGTTAGCTTTTGTTGGAAACAAAAATAATACTCTTAACTTACCTGTTACTATATTCTGTGTACTATGTTAAGTCCATTCTCTATCATTT